AACCAAACTTTGCACATGGGACTCCCACAACCGACAGAAAATTATGGAAGGGTTTGGTGAGCATTGACCTTGAATTTGGGAGTTGTAGTTCACCTCCATCCAGAGAGAACTGTGACCTCAAACAATGATAGATCTGGACCAAACTTGGCACGAATACTCCATATGCCCAAATGTGAACACTGGTGGAGTTTGGGGAAAATAGTCATTGACATTTGGGAGTTGTAGTTACTGGGATATATAGTTCACCCACAATCAAAGAGTATTCTGAACCCCACCAACGATGGAATTGAACCAAACTTTACACATAGATCTGGCCCAAACTTGGCACAAATACTCCATATGCCCAAATGTGCACACTGGTGGAGTTTGGGGAAAATAGTCCTCGACATTTGAGAGTTGTAGTTGCTGGGATTTATACTTCACCTACAATCAAAGCTCATTATGAACACTACCATTGATGAAATTGAACCAAGCATGGTACACAGGACTTCCATGACCAATAGAAAACACTGGAAGGGCTTGGTGGGCATTGACCTTGGAAGTCGTAGTTCACCTACATACAGAGAGCACTTTGGACTCAAACAATGATAGATCTGGGTCAAACTTGGCACGAATATTCCATATGCCCAAATATGAACACAGGTGGAGTTTAAGGGAAATAGACCTTGACATTTGGGAGTTGTAGTTGCTGGGATATATAGTTCACCCACAATCAAAGAGCATTCTGAACCCCACCGATGATGGAATTGAACCAAACTTTACACATAGATCTGGACCAAACTTGGCACAAATACTCCATATGCCCAAATGTGCACACTGGTGGAGTTTGGGGAAAATAGTCCTCGACATTTGAGAGTTGTAGTTGCTGGGATTTATACTTCACCTACAATCAAAGCTCATTATGAACACTACCATTGATGAAATTGAACCAAGCATGGTACACAGGACTTCCATGACCAATAGAAAACACTGGAAGGGCTTGGTGGGCATTGACCTTGGAAGTTGTAGTTCACCTACATACAGAGAGCACTGTGGACTCAAACAATGATGGATCTAGACCAAACTTGGCACGAGTACTCCATATGCCCAAATATGAACACTGGTGGAGTTTGGGAGAAATAGACCTTGACATTTGAGAGTTGTAGTTGCTGGGATATATAGTTCACCCACAATCAAAGAGCATTCTGAACCCCACTGAAGACTGAATTGAACCAAACTTTACACATAGATCTGGACCAAACTTGGCATGAGTACTCCATATGCCCAAATATGAACACTGGTGGAGTTTGGGAGAAATAGACCTTCACATTAAAGTGTTGTAGTTACCGGGATTTATAGTTCACCTACAATCAAAGAGCATTATGAATTCCACCAACGACAGAATTGGGGCAAACTTCCCACACAGAACCCTGACGATCAACAGAAAATACTGTATTTTCTGGTGGTCTTTGGCAACCTTTCTGACACCCCCTTGTGACCCCCCCAGAGGTACTGACCCCCAGGTTGAGAAATGCTGCCTTAAGGCCATCCGGTCCAACTCCCTTCACCAGGGCAAGGAAACACACTCAAAGCCCTCCTGCCATAGATATAGATCAGTGTTTCTCAACCTGGGGGTCGGGACCCCTAAGGGGGTCGTGAGGGGGTGTCAAAGGGGGTCGCCAAAGACCATCAGAAAACATAGTATTTTCTGGTGGTCATTGGGATTCTGTGTGGGAAGTTTGACCCAATTCTATTGTTGGTCGAGTTCAGAATGCTCTTTGTTTGGTGAACTATAAATCCCAACAATGACAACTGCCAAATGTCAAAGTCTATTTTCCCCAGACTCTACCAGTGTTCACATTTGGGCATACTGAGTATTCGTGCCAAGTTTGGCCCAGATCCATCATTGCATGAATCCACAGCGCTCCTCTGGATATAGGTGAACTACAACTCCCAAACTCAAGGTCAATACCCACCAAACCCTTCCAGAGTTTTCTGTTGGTTATGGGAGTTCTTTGTGCCAAGTTCGGTCGCTGGTGGAGTTCAGAATGCTTTTTGATTATAGGTGAACTATAAATCCCAGCAACTACAACTCCCAAATTACAAAATCAATCCTCCCCCACCCCCCCCCCAACCCTACTAGCATTCACATTTGGACATATTAGGTATTTGTGCTCAATTTAGTCCAGTGAATGAAAATATATCCAGTATATCGGATATTTACATTACGATTTATAACAATACTAAAATGAGAGGTATCAAGTAGCAACGAAAACAATATTATGATTGGGGGTCACCACAACATATGGAATGGCATTAAGGGGTCACGGCATTAGCAAGGTTGAGAACCACTGATAGAGATAAATATATATGATTCATATACACACAGATATAGTATCATAGATGTGAAGGGGACCCCTAAAGAAGGACAATAATATGTTGCATGGTCCAGAGTAGGCAAACCAAACAATCTCCACATCAACACTGAGAAAGAAACAAGAAGTACTGTTTACCCACAAGCATAAAGAAATGACATATATTAGAAACCAACACTTTCTCATTACTTTATTTTCCAGATCACCAGACTAGGCCACAGCAACGCCTGGCAGGGGACAGCTAGTTGGGGAATATTTCATGTTGCAGGAGGGGAAAGCAGGAAGTGAGTCTCACCTTCTGATGGCTCCTCTGCAAACAACAAATCCCTGGCAAATTTGCTGAAATCAGGAGCTCTGGGAGCCACAGCCAGCCACGCTTCGGGGGTTGAAGGCTACTCATGGTACACAGGACTCCCATGACCAACAGAAAACACTGGAAGGGCTTGGTGGGCATTGACCTTGGAAGTTGTAGTTCACCTACATCCAGAGAGCACTGTGGACTCAAACAATGATGGATCTGGACCAAACTTGGCACAAGTATTCCATATGCCCAAATATGAACACTGGTGGAGTTTGGGAGAAATAGACCTTGACATTTGAGAGTTGTAGTTGCCGGGATATATAGTTCACCCACAATCAAAGAGCATTCTGAACCCCACCGACGATCGAATTGAACCAAACTTTACACATAGATCTGGACCAAACTTGGCATGAGTACTCCATACGCCCAAATATGAACACTGGTGGAGTTTGGGAGAAATAGACCTTCACATTTAAGAGTTGTAGTTACTGGGATTTATAATTCACTTACAATCAAAGCTCATTCTGAACTCTACCACTGAAGAAATTGAACCAAACATGGTACACAGGACTTCCATGACCAATGGAAAACACTGGAAGGGCTTGGTGGGCATTGACCTTGGAAGTTGTAGTTCACCTACATCCAGAGAGCACTGTGGACTCAAACAATGATGGATCTGGACCAAACTTGGCACGAGTACTCCATATGCCCAAATATGAACACTGGTGGAGTTTGGGAGAAATAGACCTTGACATTTGAGAGTTGTAGTTGCTGGGATATATAGTTCACCCACAATCAAAGAGCATTCTGAACCCCACCAACGATGGAATTGAACCAAACTTTACACATAGATCTGGACCACACTTGGCACAAATACACCATATGCCCAAATGTGAACACTAGTGGAGTTTGAGAGAAATAGACCTTCACATTTAAGAGTTGTAGCTACCGGGATTTATAGTTCACCTACAATCAAAGTTCATTCTGAACTCTACCATTGATAAAATTGAACCAAACATGGTACACAGGACTCCCATGACCAACAGAAAACACTGGAAGGGCTTGGTGGGCATTGACCTTGGAAGTTGTAGTTCACCTACATCCAGAGAGCACTGTGGACTCAAACAATGATGGATCTGGACCAAACTTGGCACGAGTACTCCATATGCCCAAATATGAACACTGGTGGAGTTTGGGAGAAATAGACCTTGACATTTGAGAGTTGTAGTTGCTGGGATATATAGTTCACCCACAATCAAAGAGCATTCTGAACCCCACTGAAGACTGAATTGAACCAAACTTTACACATAGATCTGGACCAAACTTGGCATGAGTACTCCATATGCCCAAATATGAACACTGGTGGAGTTTGGGAGAAATAGACCTTCACATTAAAGTGTTGTAGTTACCGGGATTTATAGTTCACCTACAATCAAAGAGCATTATGAATTCCACCAACGACAGAATTGGGGCAAACTTCCCACACAGAACCCTGACGATCAACAGAAAATACTGTATTTTCTGGTGGTCTTTGGCAACCTTTCTGACACCCCCTTGTGACCCCCCCAGAGGTACTGACCCCCAGGTTGAGAAATGCTGCCTTAAGGCCATCTGGTCCAACTCCCTTCACCAGGGCAAGGAAACACACTCAAAGCCCTCCTGACAAAGAGCCATCCAGCCATAAAAGGTAAAGGTAAAGGTAGTCCCCTGACATTAAGTCCAGTCATGTCTGACTCTGGGGTGTGGTGCTCATCTCCATTTCTAAGCCGAAGAGCCAGCTTTGTCCGTAGACACCTCCAAGGTCATGTGGCCAGCATGACTGCATGGAGCGCCGTTACCTTCCCGCCGGAGCGGTACCTATTGATCTACTCACATTTGCATGTTTTCGAACTGTTAGGTTGGCAGAAGCTAGGGCTGACAGCGGAAGCTCACACCGCTCCCCGGAATCGAACCTGCGACCTTTCGATCAACAAGCTCAGCAGCTCAGTGCTTTAACCCACTGCGCCACCGGGGGCTCCTCCATCCAGCCACAGATATAGATATATATGATTCACATACACAGAGATATAGTATCATAGATGTGAAAGGGACCCCTAAAGAAGGACAATAATATGTTGCATGTTCCAGAGTAGGCAAACCAAACAATCTCCACATCAACACTGAGAAAGAAACAAGAAGTACTGTTTACCCACAAGCACAAAGAAATTGCTTATATTAGAAACCAACACTTTCTCATTACTTTATTTTCCAGATCACCAGACTGGGCCACAGCAACGCCTGGCAGGGGACAGCTAGTTGGGGAATATTTCATGTTGCAGGAGGGGAAAGCAGGAAGTGAGTCTCACCTTCTGATGGCTCCTCTGCAAACAACAAATCCCTGGCCAATTTGCAGAGGATTGCAGCTGAAATCTGGAGCTCTGGAAGCCACTGCCAGCCACGCTTCGGGGGTTGAAGGCTACTCACAGGGACAAGCGTCTTGGCCAAGGAAAGAGGGCGGAGGTTGGAGGCTTTCTCCCACGACCGTGACACTTGTTCCTCGACGACAGGTCTGCAAATGGAGCCCTGCCTTGCAGCAGCAGCAGAGACAGCCGTGTTCCCGCCCCTCGGCTGTAACCGGAGCCGATTTCGCTCCGATTCGCTGCCACAGCCCAGGATGTGGTGCCTTTGTGTGCAGAGAGCTGGAGGGAGACCTCCTCAGAGAGGGAGACAGGACGCGCCAAGCCCACGCGAGGACTGCGCATGCGCGGAAAGGCTCTCCAGCCCCTCCTTAGTTTGATTACATCAGGGGTCCTCAAACTTTTTAAACAGAGGGCCAGATCACAGTCCCCCAAACTGTTGGAGTGCCGGATTATAATTTGAAAAAAATATATGAATGAATTCCTATGTCAGCCATAGCAGAGCAGCCTGGACACAGCATATTATTTGAGAACACAGAAATGCTGGACCACACCAACAACCACCATGTCAGACTACACAGAGAAGCCATTGAAATCCACAAGCATGTGGACAATTTCAACAGAAAGGAAGAGACCATGAAAATGAACAAAATCTGGCTACCAGTATTAAAAAAACTCTAAAATTATAACAGCTAAACAACAGAGAGGAAAAAACCAGGCACAGATTAACACCTCCCAGCAACAGATTTTCCCAGACTCAGGCAGGCCTTCAAATGCTAATGAAGGTGATCAGTTGAAACATTCACACCTAGCTACAGCAGGGAAGAGCTCCTTGCCCCACCTCAGCCATTCCACAGATATATAAACCCATTGTCCTAATTCCAACAGACCTCACTACCTCTGAGGATGCTTGCCATAGATGCAGGCGAAACGTCAGGAGAAATGCCTCTAGAACATGGCTCTATAGCCCGAAAAAACCCACAAGAACCTAATTCCTATGTACATTGCACATATCTTATTTGTAGTGCAAAAAAACCACTTTAAAACAATACAGTAATTTATTTATTTATTTACTTTACTTTACTTGTATACCGCCGTTTCTCAGCCTAACTGGCGACTCAACGCGGTTTACAACAAGATAATCAACAACAATATACAATTTAAAACCATAAAAGCACAATATACAATATCAACACAACAATAACAACACAATGCATCTCATAACTAGAGTCGTGATCCAGATTCGTCGTCCATATTTCCATTCCTGTAATCGTCACATTCATTGCACTGATTAACCAAATGCTTGTTCAAACATCCAGGTTTTTAATCTTTTCCGGAACACCATTAGCGAGGGGGCTGATCTTACCTCCATGGGAAGGGCGTTCCACAGCCGAGGGGCCACCACAGAAAAGGCCCTGTCTCTCGTCCCCGCCAGCTGCACCTGTGAAGCAGGCGGGATAGAGAGCAGGGCCTCCCCAGAAGATCTAAGGGTCCTGGTGGGCTGATAGGCCGATATATGTTCGGATAGGTAGGTTGGGCAATTATTAGGTTCTTGTAGGTTTTTTCGGGCTATAGGGCCATGTTCTAGAGGCATTTCTCCTGACGTTTCGCCTGCATCTATGGCAAGCATCCTCAGAGGTAGTGAGGTCTGTTGGAAGTAGGAAAAAGGGTTTATATATCTGTGGAATGACTGGGGTGGGGCAAAGGACTCTTGTCTGCTGGAGCTAGGTGTGAATGTTTTCTTTTGCCCCACCCCAGCCATTCCACAGATATATAAACCCATTGCCTTCCAACAGACCTCACTACCTCTGAGGATGCTTGCCATAGATGCAGGCGAAATTTCAGGAGAAATGCCTCTAGAACATGGCTATAGCCCGAAAAAACCCACAAGAACCTTGTGATTCCAGCCATGAAAGCCTTCGACAATAAATTCACTACATTGTTTATTTTTTTTGGGCTATATGGCCATGGTCTAGAGGCATTCTCTCCTGACGTTTCACCTGCATCTATGGCAAGCATTCTCCGAGGTAGTGAGGTCTGTTGGTTTATAGGAAATGGGTTTATATATCTGTGGAATGACTGGGGTGGGGCAAAGAGCTCTCTGCTGAAGCTAGGTGTGAATGTTTCAGCTGACCACCTTCATTAGCATTTGAAGGCTTGGCTGAGCCTGGGAAAATGTTCTGTTGAGAGGTATTAAGATGTGCCTGGTTGTTTCCTCTCTGCTATTTTGCTGTTGTAATTTTAGAGTTTTTTAATACTGGTAGCCAGATTTAGCCCCCGGTGGCGCAGTGGGTTAAAGCACTGAGCTGCTGAGCTTGTTGATCGAAAGGTCGCAGGTTCGATTCCGGGGAGTGGCGTGAGCTTCCGTTGTTAGCCCTAGCTTCTGCCAACCTAGCAGTTCGAAAACATGCAAATGTGAGTAGATCAATAGGTACCGCTCCGGCGGGAAGGTAACGGCGCTCCATGCAGTCATGGCCACATGACCTTGGAGGTGTCTACGGACAACGCTGGCTCTTCGGCTTAGAAATGGAGATGAGCACCACACCCCAGAATCAGACATGACTGGACTTAATGTCAGGGGACTACCTTTACCTTTACCTTTCCTCTTCCTCCTCCTCCTCCTCCTCCTTCCTCGTTTTCTTCTTCCCCTTCCTCTTCTCCTCCTCTTCCTCCTCCTTTTCCTTCTCCACCTTTTTCCCTCTTCTTCCCCTTTATCTTTTTCACCTTCTTCTTCTTCCTCCTCCTCCTCTCCTCATGTTCTTCTTCCCTTTCCTCCTCTTCCCCTTCCTCCTCTTGGGAAGCCAGCTTT